ACATATATACAGAATACAAGAAAAGTATATACATCAAAATTCAAAGTCGGGAAAATGAGCTCTAATGTCATCTTCGCGCTCCCAAGTGGCATCGGATTCTCTGTGGCGATTCCATCTGATACGTACGAGGGGAACATCTCGTCTCCGGAGCCATCGAACCTTTCGGTCCAAAACTACTATCGGCCGTTCCTCGTACGATAAATCTGGCTGAAGCTGGATCTCACTCTACTGAAGGATATGATCTGGATTGAACACGTATTTCCGTAACATGGACACATGAAAAACATTATAAACATTGGACAACTCGGGAGGCAAAGATAAACGATAGGCTACTTCACCCACTCGCTCGAGAACTTCTAATGGGCCAATGAATCGGGGATCTAACTTCCCTCTCTTTCCGAATCGAATGATCCATCAGAATGGACGAACTCTCAGAAAGGCTCTTTCTCCGACCTCAAACTGAATATATCGTCAATGCTTTTCGGTTGATGATTTCTGCCGACTCTCTGTTGTCTTAAACCTCTGTCTGATTAACTCAACCTGCTCAACTGTTTCTTCGATCATCTTTGTACCGAGTATCTGACGTTCGCCAACATCGTCCCAATAAAGGGGCGAGCTGCATTTACGCCCGTAAAGTGCTTCGTAAGGAGCCATATGGATCGACGCCTGATAACTGTTGTTATAGGTGAACTCGACAAACGGCAAAATCGACTCCCACTTAGCACCTCTGTCTAGAACCTAAGCTCAGAGCATATCCTCGAGTGTCTGAATGGTCTTCTCTGATTGACCGTCTAGCTCAGAGCATCACGTACGCTAGAACTATGAAGGAAAAGCCAAGAAAAAGCAAGGTTAGAACAAAAACAAGAACAAAAAAAAGAGAGCAAGGGTCGAGAACAATTACCCGACAGAAGCACAATAAAGCACGACCGGCACGGTCGTAGGGATCGCGGTCAGCGCGAGTCTTGTCAATCGAGGTGCCGAACCGTCATTGGCTCCCGCGGGGTGAGAAGGTTGCTTGGCAGACTTCTCGCCACCCTTCGTCTTTTTGGCCTCGAAGCGTTGCAGAGCTTTAACTGGAAAACAAGAGGAAGCCAACGATTAAGAAAACCCACTACAAAAATGACAATTGCGATATAACTAGCGAGTAAAATAAAAGACACGTGAATATATGAAACATGTAAGCTTACGGGGATCATCGATACGAGGGGCATCCTCGTCAACCCAAAGTCCCACATGGTTAAGGAGACCATGATCCTTAACCAGCAGACGGGCACTCCACTTGAACTTATTCAAATCATCTAACATGTCCTAGAATTCGCTCAACTTAGGACGAGGTTTGTCTTGCTTGACCTTCTAGGTAAGCCAGATGTTGGAGAAAGGGTACTGGCCGGGAGCAGGATAGATATAAAAGAATTTGGTCTTCCACTCGGTGACATTCGAGGAAAGATCCTCGAGGAAAGAAACACTGGGATGACGACCCAGGCAATGGGCGTCCTTTATGAAGCGATAACTATAACAATACAGGAGGAACTCGGGCAAGAAACAGCCAAACTTTATTCTACAAATTATGATAAAAGCTACCATAATGCGAATGGCGTTGGGAGAGAATTGATTTGTGGGTACATCATACATGTTACTAATCGACAGCAGTTCAGGTTGAATGGGAAATCGCAAGCCAAACATTATTTGGTCGACAAAAAACGTGTAGCAGCCTTTCGGGGGATATGTATAGACGTCGTTGGGACCTGGGGTGACCAACCCCCAATCAGAAGGCAAACCACTGAACGACCTAAATCCCTCGATTTGGGTTGCAGAAGCATAAGAAAATGGGTTTAGAACAGCTAATCTAGCTACAGGACATGCTACAGTTACATCTGGAGACATAGAAAAAGGAGCTGATACCGAGAGAGGAATAGGACTCATCCTTTATACAGGAATGTCTAAGAGGAATACCTCGAGAAAGAGAGATGGTCGAGGAGAGTCGCTAACCTCGAGGAGGGTCTTCCCTACTCTGCATTAAGTCACCCGATAAGAGGGCCTGAGTGTATACATCATGGTCAATCCAAAAGTCGAGGCGGATGAGCCTTGGGATCCTTCTTGCTCGACCGTAGGCTTAGAGCCAATTATTTCGACGGAGCTAGAACCTGAGTATTCTTCTATTTGACGAATGAGAGAGCCGGGCATAGAGCTAGAGATGGAATTGGACTCGAAATCTATTGAAAGAAAAATTGAGCAAATGAGGATCAACACAAGACAAATCAGAGGTGAAAGTACTTCGACTTGTATGGGAGCTCATAGATTGAAAAGTTGACTGCAGAAATATCTACTCAGCTCACTCGGCCTTAGAAGTGAGGATTGACTAAATTACAAGATGACTAAGGGGACAAAAGAGTCGACACAAGTCAACAAGCGAAGAGGGAAAAGGGCCGTCTCATCTCCTAAAAGCGATATCTTCACAAACACGACTCGATCGATAAGAAACGAGTATAGAAGATCTAACGTAAACTTACCAGGATTCATTGAAGATCTTAAAGAACATGAAGAACACAAACCCAGAAACCCCAAAAATTGGAGAAAAAGGAAAATAAGAGTTAAAGGATGAAAGCGGTACTTACACATATTGGTTGTGGTAAGGAGGTTGGAAAGCTCCGGAGATGTTTTGTTGCCGGAAAAGTATGCACACGCCAAAATCACGAGATGCTTTATTTCCAGAGAAAAGAGAGCCCAAAAATCCTTGAATGCGAAAAGTGTAATGAGAAAAAAGAAGAAGATATTTATAGAGGGAACCGTGGGACTCTGACCATTGGATTAAAGCAAAAATTAACGGCTCAGATGAGTCACAGAATTCGAAGCGATAGGGGAAAGATGAGACGGCGTGTCAGACCCCAATTCAAAAATTCAAAATTTAAAAAGATAATAGTGGATATGTCTGGTGGAAAATTCTTAAGTATAGAGAAACCACAAGAGCCTTAGCTGCACCAAAAGGATCATCGACATGACGATTTGCGAATAAGGACGAGATGACTACCAAATTTACTCTTAAGCTTGAAGTCGCTCAGAGTAATTTTTGTGGGGGGACTAGATGATATAGCCTTGTTATCATAGCCCGATTCAAATGCTGATTACTCGACTGAGGAAAGACTGCGGACGACTTCATTAAGTCGACATCTCTGATGTCGACTTGGCCCATCGGCCATTCGAAGACCATCATTGGTCCGATAACGGTCTCTAGGTGACTTTAGCAAGTCGACTGAGTATAAGACGACTTCTCTTAAGAAGACGTCCAGGCACTCTAGGAGCCCCAGATACATATGCAACCTTAGGTACTTCATGTAAGTGTTTCTACTCCTATATAAAGAAGCTGAGGTAACTCCAAACCCTAACTTTCATTCTCTCCATTCATTCTTCAGTTGCTGCTCTTACTGAGCAGAGCTCATCTTCTTCTCCTTCACTGCCTTGAGCGTCGGAGGCTCTTCACTTGCAACACTTCCGGTGTTGAGTTCTTGTAGATTTTGGCAGCGGTTCAGGGACGATTTGGAGCTAATTTGAACAGATCGGAGCTCATTTTCACCGGTTCACTCCAGATCTAGGAGAAGACCCATCACTTGGCTTGCACACCACTCCAACCGGCCGCCCTATGCCACCGCCTCGCATGCGTGTGCGTCGGTCGCATTGCCTACTCCTAGTCCCGCGCGCCTCTCCGCCCGCCTTGCCTAGTCCCGCGCGGACTAGGCTTTCGGTCGCTTGTCCATCACGCGCCCCGCTGCCTTGCGCTGCACGCCCACCGCCTGACTCCTGCGTGTGAGCGCCTATGCCCGGTATTCCTATGCTTGCTCGGACAAGGCCACCATCCGCG